TAAAACTCAATAAATAAAAAGATAAAAACAAAATATTTATATCAGAAGTTACAATTTAATTTAAAAATAGAAAAAAAAAGAGTGAGATTAGATGAAAAGAAGGGATTAGTAGCGGCTGTTAGAAAAAAATTTTATAATGAAAGGATTTACAAAAAAATAAGGCGAGTAGAAGTTCTTTTATTAAAAAAAAACAACGAAGAGACAAGGGATATTTGATAGTCAATGATTTAATTCTTTTTAAAATAAACTCAGAGTTTTAAACAAATTAAATTACATCTTAAGAAACTCAAAATAGAGGGTTATGGTAAGAAATGAATATTGTAGTCAAAGAAATTATCAGTCTAAAGTTAGAGCATTTTGTATTGGTTTATTAAATCAATATGCAGATATTGAAGTTAAACTTGGCACAAAAAAAGCATACCAAACATTACCATTTGTAAGAGTAGATAGTATTTACTTTTCAAATGAAGATATTGTTCGTCTTCAAGCATTAGTTAAGATTAGGGTAGCAACTCTAGAGGCAATAGATCTTAGAAAGAATGTAAAGCAAAAGACAGCTTTATTTAGAAAGAAGAAAAATACAATGATTGAGTCGATTCATTTATTGATAGATATTTTAAGAGAAAAAGGATTTGAAATAGAGTCACATTTTTCACAAGGAAGAAATGAGACATTAAAAAGAGAGACAGTTATCTCTATTAGAAAGGGAAGTCTTTTTTGGAATAAACAAATGATAGAAATTATAGGAGAACGTTTATGCATTAATTTAGTTCAAAGAATTGGAGGTTCTACGTTAGTGAAAGTTCCGAAAAAAGATTCTCAAATAAATTTATTGCTTTATTCTTAGTTTATTAATATTATTCTATCATTTCAAATTGGTAACGTTGTTTTTTTCATAAAGACAAAGAAAAACAATGAAAATTTTAAAAGAACTATTACCCCATTTAGAAGTACAGTTAAATTAAAGAAAAAAAAAATAAGTAAAAAACAATGTGTGAACTAAAAGATCATTTGTAATTAATGATGTAATGAATCTATATCATAAATTCTATTGTTATCTTTCTTTACTTTATAGATTCTTACCATCCAATGAACAGAAGTAAATACCTCTTCTAAATGGTCTAATTCAATATCTTTATAACCAATTTCTTTATTTCTGGCTCTGTCAAATCCAGTTGGTTTATTTTTTTCTGTCATTAATTCACCAAATCGGTAATAACACAATTTGTACATTAAAGAATTTTTCATTGTTGAAGTAATATTTTCTCCAATTTCCAATTCATGACTTGTTTTAGAATAATAATCACTTTCTTGAATAGTTGGATCAATTGTTCCGCCAATTCTAACCATCCAAAGAAATTTATTAATATCATCTCCACTAAATCCAATAACGCCACCAAATATTACAAGAACATAATCAACATCAAGTTCTTTCAATATTTTATAACTCTCTTTTTCTGATTTTGCAAATGCTCCTCCAACACGTGCAATATGTGAATTATTCCATGTATTATTATCCACAATAGTAGTTCTATTAGCAACAGCAGCAAGTTGATATCCATAATCCCACCAACTCATAATTTTAGAATCTTTAGGAGTGTTTTGATTTAACCATCTATATGAGTCTCTAAAATCATCAAAGACTATAAAGGAATTAGCTCCTGTTGGCACTTTCATTACTATTGATGGACTAGAATAACTTTCTCTTCCAACAAATAAACAATGATTAGTATATGATAATAAACATAATGATAAAATCATAAAAATAAAAATTCCGACATTTTGCATTAAAGAATCATAAGAACTACTTGTTTGTTTCTTTTTATTTGATACTTTTTTATTTTGTTCTTGATTCTCTTTAAAAATCACTTTAACAACAGAATTATACATTTCACTAATACCAATAGAAGCAACAATACAAGCACCAGTAGATAATATCAAAATTAAACGAGACATAACTCCAGAGAAATAAACTGTTGTCATTACCAATAAAATAGTGAAAATACTTTCATCAGTAATATTTTTTAACATAAAGTAAATTCCTAATGGAATAAAGAAACAGACTATATGAAGATCAAAGAAAAATGTTCCCCATGATGTTGGTTGATGTTCTGAAACAGATGCAATAATTGGAATATGTTCTTTAGCATAAGTAGGATCAAGAAGAGCATAGAATCTACCAGTCCATGGAGAAATCTTACCAGTAAGAGTTAATACTGTAATAACAAGAATACCAGTTATAATACTTGTCATAATTAACTTAGTGTAAAATCTTTTAAATTGTTGTTCAGATAATTTTGATTTAATCCAACTAAAGAAAATATATAATTGGATAAAGATAAATACAAACATTGATGCCATATGTTCAGATGAACGAATAGGTTGGAACCCAATAAAAGAAACTTGCATTGATAACAAAATACCAATTATATAAAATGTTGTATATGCAGTGTATAACCTATTAGTGAATCTTCCAAAGACTAATAATAAGAATGCGTGTAATGGAATTAAGTTAATTATAAACACATAAGCACCCCATGAAAGTGCCATATAATAATATGCAAGTGCACATAAAGCTGCTTTAATTGGACTTCCACTTTTAACTGCTCGGATCCAAAGATAAAATGTTAGTAATAAAGCAAAAATAGAAATACATTCATTATCATAACTTCCTGCAACTGAACGACTAATATAACCAGGAACAATAGCAATTAATAATGCAGCAATTAATGCAGCCTTTTGTGAAGCAATTTCAATAGTCATTCTATAACCTACAAGGACAGTAAGTCCAGAAAAAAATGGCCCCATAAATACACAAATCTCTTTTATATCAACTGACAAGTGTAAAAATTCAAGTAACCTAAAGAAAAATACTGATGTGTACATTAATCCAGGATAAACAGTTACACCTACAATACGCCCTAAAGGATACCAAGCAGTTTCATCAAACCAATTATTAAATGCATCTAATCCATTTGCTAATAAATATTTACTGGCTCGATAATTGAAATATGGATCAAATTCATGAATAACACTTTCATATCTTAATACAGAATAAAGTCTAATTAACACTGCAATAATTATACAAATAAGAACATACAATCCTCGCATAGCTGTTGAATGAAGAAATGATTTAACTATTTCCATTTGTTAAATCTACAACTAATTTTTTAAGTTCTTTTTAAGATCTTCATTTTTTAATTTTTGTTATTATAAAATTATTTTTTTTTGATAAATTTTCAAAATAGATGATAAATTTAAAAACAATAAATTGAATTATAATTATTGTTATTCAATAAAAAATAAAAAAAAAAATGATTATAAGATCATGAAAATGATTATTTGATATGGTTATTTTAGAAGACATATTTATGAAGAATATTGTTTTGTATTTACCCACTTTTCATGATATTTCAACCTTTATTCGTATTAATAAAAAGACAAATCAAATAGTTAAAACACTGTTTATTAATCCATATTTTACGTCACTAATAAATTGTGAAAGTGATATCAAATTATTAAAAATTCTATTTTACTTTCCGATGATACAAACAATTCAAGTTCAATATTGTGATTTGACTTATGTTGAATCAACGTTAAAAGGTATTGAACAAATTGTTATTCAATATCAACTTGATGATGATTTAAGTCAGTTTAATAATACAACTTTTCTATATCCCCGTTTAATTAATTATAAAGGAGATATTAAAAAAATTCAAAACCAAATGGATAAACTTCAACGAATAACATTAGTTAATAGCTCAACACCTGATTTAAAATATATTATAAACAATATATCATTTTTTCCTCGATTACGTCAAATAACAATTTGTCTAGATTATGGTAGTGATACTGTTGATATCGAGAAATATATTAAACAACTAATAGAATTAAATATTGATATAAATATTAATTATGAATCAATTGAAGATTTTGAATTTATTGAATTTCTTAGAAATAAAACTCCATCAACTGTAAGACATTTTTTTTATTCATTCTGTCCTTTTTCAGTTGTTGACTCTTCAATATTTGTTTTTTTGAATTCAATTTCTTCATATTTCTATGACAATTACTTAACAGAAAATGCTTCTTCCTTCCAACAATATTATTATCCAATGAATTATAAAGGATTTTTAGTTGCTTCTTATTATCCTTTTAATTCTTTAACTTCATTAACAATAAAAACACCTACCCCAACTATTCCTACTATTAGTTTATCTCCTTCTTTAATTGAACTTACTTTCCCATCAAATTTTATACTCCA